TCCTTGCTTTCTGTCTGTACTTCTGAGACACACTCCTTTGTGCCTTTGGCAGTTCGTGGCCTATTGACGATTTCTGCCAACGCCGGGATGCAAATGCATGGGTTCTTGGGAAGTCTGTCTTATTCACGGTCCAGCACCCACCTGCCTGTGTGGTGGTTGAGAATTCCGTGGCTGGAGTAAGGTACACCCTCATCTTCAAAGTCACAGCAGATTTGACCAGTGCGACGGGGCATTTGCTTGCCTGGCTGCTGCTGCCGAGCATGCTGAGTGTGGGCCCAGGTACTACGATGTCCTGGACAGTTTTCATTTTTCCTTCGAGCATCACGATGCTGCTTATTGCTCCAGTCACGAGCATTTAAAATCAGGAAAGGTGTGCGTCGGGGTTGTAGCCTCTCGCCTTACTTGTTCAGTCTGGGTGCTGAGCAAATCATCAGGAAGCTGTGTTATATGAAGAAGAACACGGCATCTGAATGGGAGGAAGGCTTAGTAACACATCTGCGGTGTGCAGATGACACAACCTTGCTTGATGAAAGCGAGGAGTTCTTGAAGCCCTTGCTGATGAAGATCAAGGCTTACAGCCTTCAGCCTGGATTACAACTCAATGTAAGGAAGACCGAAATCCTCGCCACTGGACCAATAGGTCACATTATGATAAATGGAGAAAAGGTTGAAGTTCTCAAGGACTTTGCCTTGGTTGGATCCATAATCAATGCCCATAGAACAGCAATTCTCAACCTTTGGGTCGCGACCCCTTTGGGGGTTGAAGGACCCTTTCACAGGGGTCGCCCGATTCATAACAGTAGCAAAACGACAGTTACAAAGTAGCAACGAAAACAATTTTATGGTTGGGGGCGGGCACCACAACATGAGGAACTGTATGAAAGGGTCTCAGCATTAGGAAGGTTGAGAACCACTGCCGTAGAAGCAGCAGTCAAGAGATCAAAAGATGTATTGCATTGGGTAAATCTGCTGCACAAGATCTCTGTAGAGTGCTGAAGAGCAAGGGTGTCACTGTGAGGGCTCAGGTGTGCCATACCCAAGCCATGGTGTCCTCCATTGTGTTCTATGCTTGTGAAAGTCGGACAGTGAATGAGGAAAACTGAAGGAGAATCAATGCACTTGGATTGTGGTGCTGGAGATGAATATTGAAGGTACCGTGGACTGCTAACAGGACGAAAAGTTCTGTATTGGAAGAAGTAAGACCAGAGTGCTCCTTAGAGGGACATGTGGCAAGACTGGCTCTTATAGCCTTGACCATGTTGTCTGGAGAGATCAGTCCCTGGAGAAGGACATCGTGTTTGGTAAAGCGGAGGAGCAGGGAAAAGAAGGCGTGTGACGAGCTGGATTGACACAGTGGCTGTCTCAATGGGCTCTGGCACAGGGGCGATGAAAGATGGCACAGGACCGGGCAGTATTTCGTTCTGTCGTGCACAGGGCCGCCATGGGTCAGAGCAGGCTTGATGGCACCCAACAGCAGTGAGCGTTTCTGTTTCCTTGGTGTTGAGGAGGCGTAATCAATGCAGAAAGTGTTGGCCTTTGACCTTCATCAGTGTGTGCGTTCAAGTCTTCCTCACTTTCAGCAAACACGGCTGCGTGCCCTGCACATCCCAACGTGTCCTGCACACTGCTGCCCATGTCCTCGCAGTGCCTTGCAGAGTCCGTAAAACACAGGTAGACACCTGTCCACATTCTCTGCTCTCAGCCAAGAGCATCAGACCCCAGCCAGGGTTTGATTCCTTTGCCGTCTCTCAGCTTGAGCCATGCCCGGCGCGCCCTTCTCTCTCGGTTCCTAGCTCCAGGCCTTTGCGCATGTCACGATCCCACGTTGTCTTCTCAAGCAGCCCTCTGAAGCCTCCGGTTCATCATTTCTTCCATTTGCGTAACGACTCCATGGTCAAGGGCAGGTTCCAGATTCTCTTCTGCCACCCATTTGGTCTTGTCTTTCTCGCCTGTCTGTCTAATGACCTTTTTCATTCTTCGTGTGTGGCATTCTGGATGCTATCCCAGAACTCACCTGGCCTTTGGTCATTCGTGTTCAGTGTGTCCCAGGTGTTCTTGCGATGGTCTCTAAATCGAGGTGGGATATGTTCATGGTCATGCATTGGCTCTCATGGATCTGTCTTCATTTTCTTCCATTTTGTCTACCACAGCGGTTCTCAACTTTCCGAATGCTGCGACCCTTTAATACAGTTCCTCATGTGGTGGTGACCCCCAACCATAAAACTATTTTCATTGCTACGTCATCACTGTCATTTTGCAACTGTTAGGAATCGGGCGACCCCTGTGAAAGGGTCGTTCAACCCCCCCAAAGGGGTCGCGACCCACAGGTTGAGAACCGCTGGTCTAGACTGTGCAGGTGAGCGGCTGATGGCCGGCTCTCTAGTTGGGCCCTGGCATGGTCATGGCTCATGCTGCTTGATTCGCCATGGCCTCTCTCCACCGATGTCATGGATTTGAGTTCTATGTATGCCATCTGGTGAAGTCATTTTATGTTGTGGAAAGAAGGCATCTGCTGTGGTCTTTTGAAATTGTCTTCTCTGGCCTGGTTTCTCTCATCAAGGCGTGCTTTCCAACCATTCATCCGTTTCTTTGTTCCCAGTGTTTGCATTCCTACCAATGCATCTCGATTGCACAGTTGACCCATTTTTGAGCCCAGAAGTTGATAAAAATCTATAATCTTATCTCCATTATTCCCATGAGTCCTCCTCACTGTCAGTTGAGGGGCAGCAAAAAGAACAGCAGGACCGTAGGGGAGGTGAAGGGGCACAGTGACCGCAGCATTGGGCTGAAACTTAGCAACAGGTGGGCATAGGCGCAGCCCTCTGCTGCCTTCTACACAGGGCTGTGACGCATAGGAACCGATGTGGTGGCACTAGCAGCCCCCTCCCTGTGAGTACGGCAGCATGGGCGATGGCGTTCACACCACGGCATCCACGCTCTTAAGCATTCACCTTACCACATGGCCGTTTTATATTGCCTCTGGGGGGGAAATAGGCAAACAAATGATTTAAATGGAAAAAAAACCTTCAATTTTTTCATCTTTGTCATTGATGGTGAGTGCGTCCATTAGGTTAATAGTCTCATTGGCTGGTCATTTTGTTGGGCGGTGTATGGAGATTACTCTAGCACTCGCCGTGCTGTGCTCACGGCAGACCTAGAAACGTTCTGTCTGCTGATGCTGGTGACACCACTGCTCTTCAAATTGTCATTCCCGGCCGAGCAGGCCATCTGATCTTCGTCCTATTCAGAATGACCAGCATTAGTCCACGCAGCTTTCTCATGCCTTGGATGTTCCCACGTTTCACGTCATCTCAAACACTCCATTCACAGTGTTCCATTTCGTTCTGGATGACTTCTGGTTTCCCTGGAGTCACACCTTGCTCATCCTGCCTTCCATCCAGAAGTTCATGGATATTTGCGGCTGGATGTTCCCATTCTGGGCTGTGCTGCACGTGGAAACGAAGGTGTCTAAAGCGTGCGCCTCACCCACATCCTCAAGGTCGACTCTGCTTGGAGGAGGCCGCTCTTCCTCGGTCGTCTTTCTAAACGCTGGTGGCACAGCGCCTAGCGTCATAGCACTGCCCAAGCCACCACAGTAGGACAGAGTCCTGGGCCATTGGGACAGACTTTCTCTGAACTTAGATATAAGTTTGAATATTGGCTCTGGGCAATCTGGGACACATTAATAAACCACTTTGAGCTACCGTTTTCTTACCTCTAAAATGAAGGCTCCCAATAACGATGATAGTTAGGCTGTGAAACTTACAAAAACAGAAGCTATTCTAGAGACCTGTGGGAACGAGGAGGCTTCCTATTCCCATAAAGAGTTACAGTCTTGGGAACTGACAGAGACAGAGTTCTGCCCTACCCTATATGGTCACTATGAGTCAGCATCAAGGGTTTTTGATTGGCTAATTATATGAACAGAAGTGTTCATATTTCATACCCAGTAAATAAATATTCATTATTTTGACTAACATTTCCTTTATTTACAAGTGAGAATCAGCTGACCAGGACAAAAATGCAGCCCAGGGCACCAAATGGGGAGCTGACTGGAATGCAGTGGGGGCCCCCGATGTGGAAGAGAAGGAGAAGGGGAAGACAGAGTAGGAGAAAAAACGATGTTCAAAAATAACCAAAAGAGCTTCCCCTTTTTCTCTCCTGATGGACCCTACCTGCCTCTCTGCCCCACCTAATTTAAGATCAATTAGACCAAGCAACTTTAATACAGAGTCGGTACAAGTGAGTGAACAGGGCAGCCATGGCCTTAGGCAACCCCCAACCCCACTCTGTATCAGGGCCTTTGCCCACTCCTTTCCTCTACCCCCGCTCCACCCACTTCACTGTGGGGCAGTGGTCTTTGACCGGAAACTCACCCCGACCAGGGCTGGGAACTCAGAATAGTTGAGGTGTCTATCAGGTACACAGTGTGGACTCTCACACCGGCTGCACCTGTGTTCAAACAGGACAATTACGGGGACAGCCCAGACCAGGCAGCACTTCCTTCTGTTGTACCTAGGTCACCGTGAGCCAGAACCGACTTGACCGCACAGAACACAACAATGGGCTCTTGGCTGTTACCCTCAAGGCTGGGGGTTCAAACTGACTCCGCTCTCCGGGGGTGGGGGTGGGGTGTGAAAACCCTGGTGACCAGAAGAGAGCCCCAGGAAGCCAACGGCACAGCTCTGCTCTGCCTCATGGGGTCCCTGTAAGTAGAAACGGATGGACACCCCGACCCCAGACAATGACACTCTCTTCTTCTACTTCACGAGATGACCCGGGCCGCCCCAAGCCGTGGGATATGGAGTCTCTTGTGGGTCAGAGGATAGTTGGTGATGCTGGCCAAGACATTGGACATTGGAATTGGAAGTTTACCTTTTGCTGGTGAATAGAAATGATGGGCACGTGCCGTTCTGTTGACCTGTCCTCTCTTGAACAGTGAGGACCTCTCACCACAGACTGTTAACGCCCTTCTCTTGTTTTTGAATCGGATGCTGTAGAAATCGGCTCTCAGGAGGAAGTGTGGGGTCTGCAAGATTGTGGTCCACGCCGCCTGCATCGAGCAGCTGGAAAAGGTGAGGAAGCCTGGCCCCCGACCCTTGGGGCTACATGGAAGTGTGCAGACTTCCCCAGACCAGGAGCTGGGAGCCTGGCCAATGCCCATGTCCAGCTTTGGACAGACACATGCCCTTTCAGCAAACTGGGAGTTCACTCAAGTAAATACTGGACAGGCAGTATTTGCAGTTCGTCCCCTCTGTTGTTTGCCAAGGCGGGTTTGATATCATCTGATGTTGACTTTGGGGAGAAGGAACAAGATGATGGGAAGGGTGAGACAGATTTCCTTTTTGTGTGCTCTGCCCCTGCATTGCTGATCATCCATGGGGTTTCCCACACAACGCACCCTTTAAGGAGAAGACATTTACTCACCTCTTTAAAGGGGTCTCTGGTTGGTGCAAACGACTCATCATGTGTTTGCCTGTTAGGTGAGAGTCTGATTAATGTGTCTGCCTGCTAGGTGACGGAGGTACCACAGAGGAAAGGCTGAGAGATCTACTTCTGAAAAGTTAGCCACTGACAACTCGATGAAGCCCTTGCAGTATCTGACAACCACTCTTGACACCCGTTGGAGTTGGCCTAATGGCACCTTTTAACCTCCCTAACATCTTTGTTTCTAGAGACCTGTGGGAGTTTCCCTCTTCTGGCAGTGGGTGCGTGGGAACTGCCAGTCAGAGCCAGCTTTTAGGCCCCCCCTGAGCAGTGGCTCTGCTTGTGTGGCCCTCATGTACAGCCTCTTCCGCTGATGGCCTTGTGGGGGAAGGGAAAGGCTCTGATCCTTGGTTTTCTCTCAGACTTACCATCCACCTCGTGTTCCTCCTTCCACCTGCACACCTCCTCTTCCGTTTTCACGAGGGGCTCTGTATGCACACTAACCACGTGCATGAAATGTTTACTCGAATTCCGTTAGTTTCACAGGTGCAGTACCATCTAGTATCAGTCCATGCTTTGCCCTAATGTTTTCTTTCCTGTTTCAACAGCCCTCATTCCCACCTTCATCTCCACATTCTCTTCCTTGCATTATCAAGTAGGCAACAGCAACAACAAAAAGATTAAAATGTGCAAGAAAACATCCCCAGTGGAGGGAAATACAGCGATGAATATTTTTATCAAGAATGTTTTGGCTTGCATTGGGGGATAATCACCCTCACATGAAAACATTCCTCAAGTTTATGTTTCGTACTTTTAATATCGGAAACAGCCCTGCAGATGGCTTCGGCCACCATATACATTCCTCCTGCCTGTTTCTTACCCTAATTTCTCAGATGGGCAGTGTAGGAGCATTATCCTTTAAAGACACTTAGCTTTCGTCAGCGAGGATACACGGATTGGTGGAATGGAAACACGGGGATCTCAGTAGGTGATCTAATGTGCCGATTTCCAAAGACTAAGAACAAGGTGGAGCTTTGTGCCTTCCTCTCGCGAGCTTCACTTTGCACAGTTAGCATTAGTCGCTGCTGACTTTTCAGGTAACTAAACCGAGTCCCCTGCTGATCTCTAACGGAATCTACTTTTCTTTTTAAATGGCAGATTAACTTCAGATGTAAACCGACCTTTCGAGAAGGAGGCTCAAGATCCCCAAGAGAAGTGAGTAGTTCAGAGCTGTATTTCAAACACTCCCTCTTGTTTCTCATCAACTCAATGGATTCAGGGCTGCTCCCCAGACATTAACGAGCACTGGTGATGCAGCAGTTAGAGCACTCAACTGCTACCCCAGAGATTGGTGGTTCAAACCCGCCAGCTGTTGCCACGGGAGAAAGATGTGGCAGTCAGCCTCTGTGAGCGAGGGCCTCAGAGGCCCCGTGGGCCGGTTCTGGTATGTTGGGGGGCGGGGCGGGGGTGGGGGGTGGGTGCTGTGAGTTGGAATCAACTCAGGGGCCATGAGTTTAGAGATTAAAACCAATTCAAGAATGAATTATTCTGTGCTTTGAGTTTTCTGTTGAAACTATGTGTGTTCAAGAGCGAGTGCCTTTTGAACGAAATGGGAAAAACAATTTTTTAAGTAAAATGGATCTTTATCCAATTAGTAGGATACATATGCCAGTAATTCTCTGTTGCTGGTCTCTTGCTGGTGTTGGAGGGATGAGGCCCATTTCTTCAGATCCATACTGTGGATCTAGACTAGCGGTTCTCAACCTGTGGGTCATAACCCCTCTTGGGGGTCAAAGGACCCTTTCACAGGGGTCGCCTAAGACCATTGGAAAACAAATATTTCCAATGGGCTTAGGAACTGAGACACCACTCCTCTATCTGTCTCCAGGTGGGTCCGCCCACATGCTGATAACGCCCACATGCTGATAACGCCCACATACGAGCCCCAGCCTGAAGACTGTTACCCTGCTACACCATGCTTCAAGACAAAATTTCATTGATTTGTCATTAGAAATAAATATTTAGCAATATATAATAGCATATTGTTTTGTGATTAAACACTGCTTTAATTATGTTTAATTTGTAACAATGAAAGTACATCCTGCCTATCAGATATTTACATGACGATTCATAACAGCAGCAAAATGACAGTGACGAATTAGCAACGAAAATAAGCTTATGGTTGGGGGGGTCACCACAACCTGAGGAACCTGTCTGAAGGGTCGCAGAATGAGGAAGGTTGAACACCGCTGCTCTACAGGGATGGTAGTATACACTAAAAGTGGGGTGTGCCCCATGGCCATGGAGAAAATCCTGGCTCACACTGACCCTGAAGGACAGATCAGGACTTCACCCTAGGGTTTCCAAGGCTGTAAATCTCTGAGGCTGTGAGAGAGCATCCTTTCTTTAGAGGAGCAGCTAGTGGACTAGCTGACTGCAGTTAGCAGTTCAGTGTGTAACCTTCTCCACCCTCAGGGCTAGCTACTTTGGGGAAAACCCCAGAGGTGGAATATTTAGGTGATCTAGGTATGTACTAGGGGTCCTGGGAGCGGTTAGCGTATAAATTCTACCTCCTGTTAGTCCATGTCAGTTTCACGTTAATTCTCCAGTGAGTTACACAAGCCCCTCAATGTGTCCTCTGCTGCCGGGGTCTACCTGCCATTCGTTCTTTGTGTGGGGCTGGATCTGGGGCTCAAGGTCTTGCTGAATGACCAAGGTGTGGAGTGGAGTGGTGGAAGGAAACACACTCTCGGACACACACACACACACACACACACACACACACACACACACACTCATGGCTCAGCCTCTGACCCTGTGATCCAGCAGTGACACAGCACAGGTCTGTAGGCAGTTGTGAGGCAGAGCAGTGGCTGTGATACCAGTTGTAGGTGGAGGTGATGAAATGATGGGGATGGGGATCCCGCTGAAGGGACAGGAAGAAATGTCATTCGGTTGGCTCTTGGTCACTGTCAGTGCCCATTTCAACCGTGGGGTGGGTGTCAGTTCTTTGGGGGGCAGCACAGATTTCGGTTATTCGTGTGAGTCATAGGCTCAGACCCCAGTTGGACACGTGACTCGTGGAAGGAGCCTGGGCATCTCCTTCCACCTCTCCCTTTCTTGTGTTTCCATGTATGAAATCACACATCATGAAATAGCCAGCTCTCACCTTCCTTCATCTCGAGACTCCCTTCATCTTAGCACCTGCCCCTCTCTGGAAGGCTGTTCTGAGTCTGCATCCGGGCGGCAGCTCAGGTTCCCAGCAGGTGACTCCACAGTCCCAGTTCAGACGCCGCTTCGAGGCTCCCTCTGCTCTGCCCACTAGAACCATCAGAGCTGTCTCAGATGTAAACTGCCAAACACGAAGCTCTTGCCTCCATCCCACTGCAACGATTGTCTCCAGTCTTCTGGTGGTCATCCGTCCAGCCCTCAGCTGAGAAACTGGGGTGGGGAGGGTTCATATAGCTTCTGTTCTCTCACTTACTTTCTGTCTCTAACTCATTAGCAGGGCCTGTCAGCTTCAGTTACAAATTATATTTAAAATCCATTGATTTTCTTCGTTTCCATCGGCAGCGCCTTGTCCTGAGGCACTGTGGACCACTAGAACAGCTTCTCCACACCTCTCTTTCTCAATGGTCTCCACTTCCCCATCCACCCATGATTCAAGAGAGCAATTTAAAAAAAATGAAAATTGGACTATGCCCATGCACGGCTCCACACTCCTCCGTGGTTTCCATGACACTTAGCCCAAGACCCAGACACTTGTCTCGGCATGCGGGCATGCTTGTCTGGGCCCCGCCCACCTCTGTACTCCCCACCAGCTGTCACCTCTCCTGTCTTTCAGTTATCACAGCCGCACCAAGATAATCCCACCTTTGGGGAACTGTGTGTGTTTGCTTCTGCACGGTGGACTGTCTAGTGTTGGTAGACCATGGCTTAAATAGCACACCCTCAAAGGTTGACCTAGACAGACACCTCCAAACAGGCCAGTTGTTCTTTGTCAGGGCTCTTGTTCTGCCCCAGCAGAGGACTTGGTATTTCATAACTGTCGGTGCGAATGACTCGTCTGCTTGTTCTTTGTCTGATCTCCTCCGGTGGATTTGTCCCCCACTCACTGACCAGGACATAGTGTGGGATCAGTGGCTATCTATTGATGGAATGACTCTTTCAAGGGATACATTTCCCCCAAATGCTGAAGAACGCTTGTTCTAAGGGGACATTTTGAAGATGAGAACTAAGAGCATAACTCCCTTGGGGATCTTAATTAAGAGGCAGTTAGGCAGTTTGCTCCATGCAGATGAAAACCTGGGTTCGAAAGTCACCTCGGCTGCTCTCCTATTGGCTGGCAAAGGCCTCTGTGTGCACAGCAGATGTTAGAACAGAAACCTGGAGCTAGGGTGATGCTTCGTCATGGTAACCATGGGCCCCACCTAGGGCCATTTTCCAATGAATGTGTGTTGGACCCGTCTAAGCAGAATCTTTCTGGACCTTGATTTCCTTAGTATTCATTCATATGGACTATGCAATAATTTCTAAGGTCTCTTCCACCTCTTTGTGAATAATAGCATGAATGGAATTGGTTGCTTGAAAACACTGGAACAGTTGTGTTCTTGACTTTAGTTTACAGCACCGAATCTAACTGCCCACATGTCACGTGTCATGAGTATTTAGCACCCATACGTGATAGCCTTCTTCGTACCCAACGGTGGAGGCTAGTGTGTGAGTAATTCAGAGACTATTGATGAAGTGTAAATGATATGATGGGGTGAGCCACTGTGCTTTGCCATCGTAACAGCCAGGATCCACACTCACATTGGCAGCCTGAGGAGCCCGTGTCTAATTTTAGCTCAGCCTCTTAGCAGGTATGAATAATAGCCCCAAGGAAGCAGCGCAAAGCACGGAGGTGTGGGGAAAACAGGATTGGAGCCCAGCGGGCGCTAAAGCATCAGGACTTCGTATCCCTTTCTCTTTAATGAAGGCAATTGATGATTCCAGAGGGTGGTAACCATGTAGTTTCCTTCTCCAGGAAAGAAGGCGACCGTTCCTTTCAATAAACACACTTGTATCGAGTGTTTACTTGGTGAAAACTTTCTTTATACAGCAGAAGAAATCCGTATTAGGCCTAAGAATGGCTCTGAAAGGAAGGGCATTTGCCTTCGTAAATCATAGACTGGGAAGTAGGCAATATCTCCGACCTCAATGATAATGCCGGTTTCCCCTCAAGGTCCACAAAGCTAGCAGCAATTACAGAGACCATTTTGTATAATGTGTAGATTATATAACAGTTTCCCCCTAACTTACCTGACATTTTTCTATATTTAATATTTGCACAGATGGCAGTCATTCATATAACGTATTGGTGCTCCACCTTGATGTGCCATTATCGCCAGGTCCCATGAATGGATTCCACTCCATAGTGACCTCGTGCGACAGAGCAGGGCTTTGTACTCTCATAAAGGACACCCGGAAACGGGGGCAGTCCTAGCTTGTCCTCTGGGGTGGCTGTGAGTTGGCATGGACTGGATGGCCGTGAGCTAGGTTCACGTGTTTGTGTGACTCCCAGGAAGCAGACCGCCTGGCTTTCATTCCCCGGGATGAGAGATGGATTCGAATCACCAACCTTGTGACTCACAGCTGATCCCTTCACTATGGAAACACGAGGGCTCCCAGGACGTACAGATAAAGTATTTAAAAAGTGCTCGGCATCCCGTTAGAACTCCGTGGATGTCCACTGGTGCCTTTCTGAGAACAGTACAGGAATGGTGTCTTTGTTTGATTAAGCTTTTTTCCCCCGTTCAGGTTTTCCTTGAAACAAACCTGTTTATTATTTATCGTGGTGAAAATACAGGTCACAACCCTTTCACCATCTCTACATATTCGGATTAATGACGTGAAACGCAGCATACCCACACCCACCGCCACTGAGCTGGTTCCGACTCCTAGCAGCCCCGCACATTGTTGCTCAGACTGCGCATGGTCACTATGGGAGCAGGCGGCCTCATCTCTCTCCCGGGGACCAGCTGAGGGGTTGGAACTGCCGACCTTGCGTTCAGCAGGCTCATGCCTAACCCACAAGGCTGTGACGGTTCCTTTACTGACATTGCCTTGGGTGGATTTAGATGCAGAGCCCCTCTTTAGGACAGGCCTGGGCTCAAACTTGAAGAGTTGGGAGGAGGGTGTGGGACTGAGCGGTGTTACGCTCTGTAGACCGTGGGGTTGCCATGAGTGGGAACTGGGTCAAAGGCGCCTAACGATGACTAGACCAGGTAGAGCCGCCCCGGGGGTTACACTTAGGCCGCCTCGTCTTTCCTCACGGAGTAGCAGGTAGTTTCGAAATGCTGGCCTCGAGGTTAGCAACTAGGTGTCCCTAACCTAGCCACCTGAGCTCTGAGGATACACTGAAGGAACTTTAAACAGAGAATACGGACCAGGCTCTGAGCCTGCCACAGACAGGCTGGTTTCAGGTGCAGAGAAGGGAACGTAGGAACTGCTCGTTGTCCCCAGAGGAACGGGACTGAAAACTCCGCTGTAGCCTGTGGGACGCCAGGAGAGGATCGTTCTTCACCTCTCCCAGTCACAGGTGGTTTGTGGCTGCGTCGCTCAACCCCTGTCCCCATCTTCACATCGCTGTCTTTCTGTCTGTCTGGTGCTCCCCCTTTTCTTGAAAAGGCACCATTTATAGAAGATGAGCACCCCTCCCCCCGCCCTCCTGCAGGCCTCTTGTGAATTTAACTGGTGATATCTTCGAAAGATCCTACGGCTAAATATGGCCGGGGAGGAGTGAGGACCTGGGTGTAGTGTTTGTCCCAGCTCAGCGGGAGGGGAGGGAGCAGAGCATCCTGCTAGGTAGGTAAGGTAGAGAGAGAGGGGGGGGGTTGGCGGGGAGAAGGAGACTCCCAAGAGAGATTGGCACAGTGGCTGCAATGGGGGATTCACACCCACCCATGGCGGAGAGGATGGCACAGGACTGGGCAGTGTCTCCTTCTTGCAAGTCAGGCTGCTCTGTGTCGGGCCCACTCCACTCCTTGGTGCCTCACCTGACCACCAGGCCTTGAGGGGACACAGATCCACCCACAAGGACAGCTTCTTCTCATCGAATCCGCCCTCAGACTGAGTGGTGGCGGGGACCTTTTGACCCTGCCCCCAGAATCTATTTGGAAGGAAAAGCAACTGCTTCGTGTCACCACAAGGGGTGCCCTTGCAGCCAATTGGGTCCAGGGTGCCCAGGGTCCCACCCACATCTCTCCTCCCATTCACCTTGTCCTCCCGCTTCCTTCATCCACGTCACTCAGTGAGAAACGCTCACCAATCTTTCTTGGTGGGAGTCTCCCCCCCCCTCCCCCCCACTCTATCTTACCTTGCCCAGGACCCTGGTGCCTCTGAGAGATTGTCATTCTCCCTTCTTTCTTGATACCCCGGCTCCCTCACAGCGCCACAGTCAGCAGCGATCTTTGTCGAGTTAGACCGATGACCATTCTCTCCTCCCCCTTCTCCGTGGGCAGTTCTTCCCCCCTCCCTCCAGTCCAGGGCCCCCTGCCGTAGTCTCGAGTCTGTCTAGCATTTTGCTCATGAGCAAGCGGGGCCATGACGGTCTAGTGTGGCCACTTGCCATGCCAAGAAGGAACGCGGAGGGCGGTGCAGTGCACGACACAGACACAGGCAGGATTGCTGGCTTGCTTCCTAGGTAGAGTTGGGCCTCTCGATCCACACGCACGCACGCACGCACGCCTGCGTCTTGCGCCTGCGGGCTGTGGCCATGGCCCGGGGAGAAGTGGATGCTGGTGAGGCGTGGAACCACGAGGGGACGGAGTGGACGCTGGCGAGGCGTGGAACCACGAGGACACATGCCTGCATTCATTCTGCTTTTGTCTCCCTGCAGAATTTTGTGCGTCACCACTGGGTGCACCGTCGGCGGCAGGAGGGCAAGTGTAAGCAGTGCGGGAAGGTAAGGGACCCCCCTCCCACGGACACCCCCGGGAACCCTGCAAGGCCCAGCCGGCCCCCTGAGGCCGAGGCGTCCCATCGCCCGGCCTGGCGTTCAGATCACGCCTTAGTTTCTGGAAGGTCTAACTCCTCTCGGTCTTCTCTGTCAGGTGTTTCCGTCTCGTTCTAGAACTCTATGCAACAGGCACTGGTTTTCATGGCAGGGGTCAGCCCCTTCTGAGAGGGCTGGAGGCAGCCTTCCAGGGGGATGGCGGTGAGGGGGGGAAGGGTGACTGGCCTTTCAGAACAACGCTTCTCCCATGAGGACGGGCTAGCAAAACCAGGAATTGTTGTCAGTTCCTGCAAAAAAGTGTTTGCCACCCCTGTGGTTGCTGGTTCAGCATGAAGCACGGAGGTGTGGGGAAAACAGGATTGGAGC